TGACAATATCCTCTCTAATCTCTATAGAGCATGACAATCCCCATGGAATTTAGCGAAATAGAACGGCCAATAAGCCTGTCGTAGTCTGGCGCCAGCGGCTTACTTATCATTTTTGACTGACAACATCTGGTTTACACTATTTTTCGAAAGAACTGCTCCAGCAATTGCTAGACTACCATTGTACCTTAGAACTACACTTTTATGCAGGACGCACACAAAAGAAAAGAAGTTGTCATCATTGAATTCTAAGAAGCTGGCTATTGAAGAGATTTGATTTTTAATCTTAAAAACTCTAGTTTAAAACTGGAAAAATTCATATAAAAATGGTATTATGATGAAATCTTTTCAGGCGATGGAACCGAGCTCGTCCGACATTTCCTCATCGAACCATCACCGAAAGGAGTGAAGCTAAAAGGCTGCAACAATGAGGCACGCTCTTCTTTTTCGTGACATATATCAAATTACGTCGAGAAGACGAAGAGCACGAAGACAAATTGCCAATCTTAGAAAGAAATAGGGAATTCTAACATAATTTCTCACAAAACATTGGGCTATTGGTTAATATCTCTAGGACAAATTGGGATTCCTTTATTTTTTGTGCAGCCATAAGTTTTTTTCTCGGCCAGTTTCAAAATGTTATATGCAGTGTGAATACATAATGTTCTAATCTTACAATATCCTCTTCTAGCCCGTTTTCGGCTCTTTGTCCGCCCTGGTGTATCAGCATTCGATCACACCACTAGCATTGCCCACAAAATTACTACTTCCCGACTATGATCCGGCCACCACGCCTGAGCATGTCTCGGCAACCCAGGCGCTTCTGGAGCAAGGAGCAGGTAGGTGTTCATAGCAGCACCGCACTTGAACTTCTTTTTAAAATTTTTTCATCTGACCTGCTTAATTGGAAGATGAGGAAAAGAAGGTAGGCCAAAAATCTGGCGGAAAACAATTTGATACGTTAACACTAAGAAGATATCTAAACAAATTTGTCTAACTCGTCCCGTTCTATTTCTGTTCAAAGAAACTCGATACCTATGTTT